GCTAAGAGATAAACAGATGAGAGACACCAGGAGAGGCCTTGGAATGCCAGACCCCTGAGAGTCTAACTTCAAGCAAGCAGAAGGGAAACTGGTAGAGGAGACTCAGAAAAGCAGCTCGCCAGAGGGGCAGTAGGAAGGGACAGAGTACATATGGATGGAGGTAGGTGGCTACACAAGGAAGGCAGGGAATATAGGCTACCCAGCCAAGGCTTAATGTTTAAGCCTCCATTGGCAGGCACAGGCAAAATAATAGGTATGGGTCAATGGTCCCAAGCCTTCAGCTTGGGTGGCTAGCTTAGATACAAACTGTTGCTAAAAAGTCAGCATAGCACATACAAGCAGAGGCCATGATGGAAAGGAGACAAAAGAAGAACAAAACAGGGCTGGAGAGATGGCTCAGAGGTTAATAGCACTGGCTGCTCTTCCAGAGGACCAGAGTTCAATTCCCAGAAACCACATGGTGGCTCACAACCATCTATAATGAGATCTGGTGCCCTCTTCTGATACACAGGGATACATGCTGAGAGAACACTTTATACATAAAAATCTTTAAAAGAAAAAACAGCAAGAATAAAAGAACTTAAGACCTTTTAGATAGAGATCAAGTGAGGAACTGCAGTACTATGGCAGAAGAGTCGCCAGAAGAAGCTGCACCTAACCTAAACCCTTAAACCCTTTCTCCCCGGACCTCTACAGTATTCTCAGTCACCAGCATCTTTCTTTTTTTTTTTTTTTGAGACAGAATCTCATATAGCCCAAGTAGGCCTTGAACTCATGACAGTCTGCCTGCCTTGGTCTCTGAAGATTTCAGGCAAACACCATCATCCCCAGCTATGATTCCCTTGATTTTCTGTCACATATAATAGTGGTGATAAGAACACTAGAGTGCTCTAAGTGCTTGCTATGTGCCAGGGGCCATGCTAAGATCTTCACACGTGTAATTTAATTCTCACGACCACACTAGCTGATGGATATTGTGACATTCCAATTTTGTAGAAGAGGAAATTGCCCAAAGTCACACATGTAGGAAGTAGCAGAGCTGGGCCTAGACCGAAGACAATCCAACCCAAAAGCCTGTCATAAGCATTCTAAAACAGGGAAACTAAGTCATGCAGTAAGAAAATCATCTGTCCGCTTCAGTTTAGCAGAGTCAGACCCAGGACCCTGCTCTCAATTCTTTCAGAAGGCCACGCTGTCCTTTTCCCTGTCAGTTCAGTCCACTGTTCCCAGGCCCAAGAAATTTGGGCCTTCCAATGGGCTCCCTGGTATTCAATTAAATTAAAATGAAAGAACAAAGTAGGTTTGTTACAACTTAAACTATCACAGGAAGGGGAGAAGCCGCCAAGGAACCACTAACAAAAGTACAAAGAACTGGAATGATAACATAAAAGATTAGAATTCTAGAGATTAGAGTCTACATTAGAATCTACTTATTAAAGCAGTAAGCAGTAACCCACTTAAGTCCGGGAGGATGCTTCAGAGGGTGAGAACCCCGCAGACCATTTAGGGACCTCATTACTTCAGAGGGTGAGAACCCAGCAGACCATTTAGGGACCTCATAGTGGTAGCTAGCAGTGGGGAGAGATGGGGAGGCCAAAGACTGGCTAGCAAGTCTGGCTAAACCAAATCCTCTCCCCCGGCTGCTTATAAACTTGGCTGTAGAACTTTAGCAAGCTGCTTAGCCTATCTGGGCTTCCTTATCTATAAAGTAGGGGTGACATAAACTGAGTATGGTGGTGTATGCCTGTAATGCTGTCACTTGGGAGAGGATCAAATGGTCAAAGTCATCTGTGAACTACATAGCAAATTCAAGATCATCCTGAGATGTGTGAGACCTTACTTCAAAAAACAGAAGTTGGCTGGACAGCAGTGGCACACTCCTTTAATCCAGCACTCAGAAGGCAGAGGCAGGCAGATCTACAAAGTGAGTTCCAGGACAGCTAGGGCTGTTACACAGAGAAATCCTGTCTTGAAAAACCAAAACAAGGAAGGAGGGAGGGAAGGAGACATGTAAGCATGCGGGGCACAGCAGAATTGCAGGCTGGCAAACCAGTCTGGGTTGACTTAAGAAGGGGTCTCATGAACCACTCTAGGGAGTCCCAGCTGCTGCTCAAGTTCTAGAAAGCCATAGAAAGCCCCACTAGAGAGTGGGGAAGCAGGAAGTAGGAAAGCTCATCCTGCTGTTGTCTCAGCTCTGGTGAGGATAGCCAGGCAGCACTAAGGAGAATGGAAAGCACAGATGTCCCAGAAGTAGAGCAGTAAGCTTGGCAACTGCCAAGCACAAGTTGTTCGCAGGCCTATAAAAGCACATTGCCTGCTAGGTCACTGTGATTGGGAGTGAGCAGGAAAAGAAGGCAAGGCAACTATTTAATAAGCTCCTTGGGAGGTGAGATGGGTTATATGACCAAAAACTAAGAGGTTAAAATAACATACCTTATTGTAAAGATGTATCCCTCTGGGGAAGACAGGGAAATTAAGGTTATTTTGTAGCATGTAGAGTTCAAGTTATATAACAAGAGATTGCTACCTACATGATAATTACAGGTATTGAAGAAACATGAACATGACTTCTTCAAAAAATGAGTTTTTTGGTTGGTTTTGGTTTGTGGGGTTTTTTGTTTGTTTTTTAAAACATTTATGTAAACAACATTCTGCCTCCAAGTATGCCTATAGGCCAGAAGGCAGCACCAGATGTCATTACAGATGGCTGTGAGCCACCATATGGTTGCTGGGAATTGAACTCAGGACCTCTGGAAGAGCAGCCAGTGCTCTTAACCTCTGAGCCATCTCTCCAGCCCTCTTGGTTTTGTTTTTTTTTTTTTTTTCAAGATAGCATTTCTCTGTGAAGCCCTGGCTAAAACTCGCTCTGTAGACCAAGCTGGCCTTGGAACACAGAGATCTACCTGCCTCTGCCTCCTGAGTGCTGGGATTAAAGGCGTGTGCCACCAGAATACTAAATTTTTATGATGGGTGTGGTGTGTCTGTAATCCAATACTTCAAGGCCAGCCTGGGCTAAGTAGTGAGACTTTCACACACACACACACACACACACACACACACACAAAGTAAAATAAGACTGGGTAGGAGACTTACCCAGCATGGATAGCACTATGCCTTTAGTCCCCAGAGCCACCAAACACTTGAGACTTGCTTCTTTATAAGTGTAGCCCTGACCCAGATGGAGGAAATTGGGAAAATTCTGTAAGCCCTTCCCATAATTTAATCTAAGAAAATACATAAGATATTAGGTAGTCAGGAAGCTGTCAGTGCTACACGTCTTGATTCACCTGTTATGCCAAGAGGCTCACAAGTACACTCAGTAGATAAGAATTCCAGGAAGTGCTGAGAGCTGCTTTCAAGACAGCAAATGCAAACTGCTGATAATGTGAAGGCGGCCACATCTGACAGCTGGGAAGCAACAATGTGAGCAGCCTGGAGGCTGTGGGTTCTAAGCTATGGTATGCTGGAACATTCTCATGCCATCTCCCTCCAGCAGGGCTCCCATTCTCACACCCCGTGTGTCCCACACACCCCCACTCGCCCCTTTGTCAAGTGTAGTGTTTCCTCTCCCCGCTCTGCAGACGCACACCATCTTCTCGCTGCTGGGAGTGGACCACGCTTATGTCACCAGCATTGGCAGGCTCATTGGGATTGTGACCCTAAAGGAGGTGAGGTGACAGGGCCAAAGCCACTTCCACGGGAGAGGTGCTGGGGAGGGGTCTAAAGAGGAAGCAGACACCTGAACTCTCTTACCTTTCCAGCTCCGGAAAGCTATTGAGGGCTCTGTCACAGCACAGGGTGTAAAGGTCAGGCCACCCCTTGCCAGTTTCCGGGATAGTGCCACCAGCAGTAGTGACACAGAGACCACTGAAGTGCATGCGCTCTGGGGGCCTCGATCCCGCCATGGCCTCCCACGAGAGGGCAGTCCTTCGGACAGTGATGACAAGAGCCAGTGAACCTCTCACTGGCTTACCTGTGTTCCTTCTGCAAGTGGCAGCAACCAGAAGCTGGAACCCAAGTCCACTCTAGCTGTGTGCCCTCCACCTCCCAGTGGTCCTATATGGAATGTAACTCAACACCTCCCTGCTGGAGGACCAGCAATGCCCTGGCAGGATGAGGTGGGGTTGTGTGGCCCTTGCCCACTCTTTGAGAAAAGGGCAGAACTAAAATGGATTTATACTGGAACCTCCAATGACAAGATGTATATAGAAATTTACAAAGATTTTTATATTAATTTAATAAAACAGAATAAAGTAAACACCTAATTAGCCACTCGTGTATAGAACACTTGTGCTGTTGGCTCATGTTTTCATCTTGGATCTTCTTACCTGCCCAAGCCTATGGCACTCATTCCACAGCCACCTACTGACCCCAGTGTCCCAGAAATCTAGGATCTGCCAGGGGCCTCCACTGCCTGATCAGCAATACCCTGCCTGAGACAGGGCCCCTTAACACTGGCTGCAGCCTTCTATTCAGCCAAGAAAAGCATACCCTCTTTCCCAAGGATAGCCACGCCCTCATGACTGTCCATTCATTGGTACAAACCTTCTGCTACCCTTGTGCTCCTGTGAAAAGAACATGGCCCTCCCAACTCTGTAACAACCAGAGCCAATCCCTTTCCAGTCCCACCCTACTGAGAACTCAATATGTGCCCACAAGACCTTGCCATGCTAGGAAAGGGCCAGGGTCCAGGGGAGGGAGGGGCGTGGAAGGAGGGGATACACCCTTTCATCATTCCAGTGCCTCCCAGAGAAGACCGGCTCAAAGAACAGACCAGAAACTCCCTGTCTTCAGGGAAAAAAGGTTTAGAGACGACTAAGAGGTGAAGCACAGCAGAGCCCAGCAGGGCAAGGGGCCCTCGGGGATGGCTCGGTCTGTAGACTCCCAGAGGGCGGGAGCCGGCCCACAGGTGGAGGTGGTTCAGTCAAGCACTGCACGTGGACTCGGGTGAACAGAGAAGCAGAGGAGGAGGGGCACAGGGAAGGATGGAGGAGGCAGCCAGGGTTCCTCCATTCCCACCCTCCCAGCCCAGCCACAACCCCTTCAGGTTCACATCCCAGAAGGAAATGTGGCATTCTGGTTGGATTCAAGAAACATGAACGTCACTGTCTGCCACAGCTGTAGCCATGCCCCAGGGGTCCCGGGCAAACCCCGGCAAACCCCAAGAGTGGAAGCAGTACATGCGCCCCTAGTCTGGCCCCTGCCTCCTCTCCAAACACTTTCATGCAAAACACACAATGGAGAAGTGAGTGCTCCCAGAGGCCCTCGGAGCTCCAGAGCCCACATTTTGGCCACAGAGAGCAGCAGCCAGGGGAGACATGCCACCACTGGGCATGTCTGGATCACTGGTCCTCAGGTTCCACCTCGTCCTCATCTAAGGATACGACCCCAGAAGAGGCCACATCAGAGACTTGCTGCTGCCTCTCCCAGCTGCCTGAGGGTAGTGGGCAGAGCAGTGGGCAGTCCTTGCAAGAATCAGGCTCCTCCTCGGTAGGGGAAAGGCAGGATTCCGTGAGTGGTGAATTGTAAAGTGAGTCCTGGGCCTCCAGCGGACCCAGGCTGCGGAAGGCACTTTCCCGGCTCGGGGGCAGTCTGGCAAGGAGCAGCTCTTCACCCAACATCTGGGAGGTCATCCTGGCTGGGGAGCCCAGCAACCCATCCTCCAGGCTGCACAGACTAGAGCACAGGGTATCTGGGGACACGGTCTGGGAATAGTCGCTCTCTGGCTCCACAGAGCCCTGGCGCACAGGCCTGGAGAATCGACGACCTGTGAAGAGGTCCTGGAGGTGGGACCCCAGAGGCCCAGCCATGTCTGTGAAGGGAAGAAAAAGACAGCTTTGCTGATCTCATTGGTCAATATGGAAGCCACATGACCATAGACCTCCCACCCATGTCCATCTTTATCATACCTGAAGGGGCAGGGGGAGCTGGATAACCTGAATAAGTCTTAATTTTTGCTGCCTTAGTGGTGGATTAGAAATCCTAATAGTATTTACTTTATAGTGTCAGAACAAGAGTTTGGAACAGAGGAGGCACGCAATAAATGCAGCCCCACTGTATGGCCACACAGGTTGCTCATTACTCAGAGCACTGAGGCTGACTTGCCCACACTGCCCATTAAGTAGGGCATCCTAAGCATAGGCTGTGCCCACCAGAAAAAGCTATGCATATTTAAAATTTTGCTCAAAGATTCCACACACACTTTCAAGGTTAGCCTGGGCTACATACTAAGTAGCCTGAGCTATAGTGAGGCCCTTTCTCAAAAACAAAACAAAATTTTAAAAAAGACAAAAAAGAATCAGAAAATACTGGTGTCTGAGGGTTCCATCTTTGCCTTAGCATTCAAATCGGCCACCTGTGGACCACAGCAGCAGTCCTTGCCAGCTTTAATGCAGGTTTGGCTTTGAAAACCTTGTTAATTATCTAGAGGAGTAGGAACTAATAGGTGATCTTCAAATGTAAAAGGTTGGGGGCTGAGGTCTTGTGAGGCCAGCACCAGAAGCTGCAGCAAAGTTGGCCACATAGTTCAAAGAATGGCGGATGAAAGGGGAAACAGAGCACAGCTGCACAGCCTCCAGGGTTGCAAGCACTGGCCCAAAGCAAGACCCACAGGCTGGAATACAAAGATGCTGAGCTGAAGCCAGAATCCTGCCGAGGATTCCAGACCCAGCATGCCTTCCTGTTTGCTTGGGATCACTGCCCTGGGAGGTGCTGAGCACTGTACTCATCTGTCCTGCCACAGCCAACCAAAGCCTCCTCAAAGACGGAAAGGCAAGGGTTCCACAGATCCTTCTGGAATAGGACTGAACTACTGGGTTTGTTTCTTTATTCTGAGAACTGTAAGACCCACTACTCATAGCGGGAGAAGAGAGCTACAGCACCTACAGAAGAGACTCAGCTGTTCCATTCCTAGCTGCTGGTTCCCCACCCAGTGTCCTTGAGATGTCAAGGTCAGTTTAGGTACTCTGTTTCCTCCTATTTGGAAGGCTACAGTGCTCTGGGAGGCTCAGAGTGAATCACCACACCTACCAGGCAGCACCAGCACAAACTGTTCCTCACCTGTGTCGGTTCCCCCAGTAAAGTCCTCGTCATAGGAGTCATCAGTGGAGTCATCACCATCTACTGAGGACCATGCTCGGAGCTTAGCTTCTGCAATCGCAAACTGCTCAGCAACTCCTATCAGAGAGACACAGCATTCACTGCCACAGGAGCTGAGCTAAGACTAAGGCTTGGTTTACAGACAGATGTCCCTGAGGACTCTGGGCAGAGAGAGGCATGTGGGAAAACTCTAGCCCCACTGCTAGATCCAGTGAGATCAGAGGCAGCAACTCGAGGGCAAATCTCCGGGGCTAATTCCCTTTCTGCTACCCACCTGCTGCAAAGCGAGCCTCTTGTTCACCTTCACTGAGGTCTGAATAGGAGGAAAAGGCTGATTCCAAAGCCGCAGGTGAGTCACTGGGCTTGCTCCAGCCCTTCCATTCGATGAGGTGGGCCACACGGCCCTGGGCCATGGCTGTGGGTTTGGTCACGTGGTCCTTCACCACCTGGGAAATACCTGGAGATGGGAAAGAGAAGTTGGATTAAGGGAAAGGACTAGGGAATGACTTGCAGAGAAGGCAGAGAGTGTTTTTCCATATCCTTAGGGTAGAAAGAAGGACTAGAAAGAATCTCTCTCCTCTCTCTCTCTGTCTCCCTGAGATAGGGTTTCTTTGTGTAGCCCTGGCTGTCCTGAAACTCACTCTGTCCTGGAACTCACTCTGTAGACTAGGCTGGCTTCAGACTCAGAGATCTGCCTGCCTCTGCCTCCCGAATGCTGAGATTAATGGCTTGTGCCACCACTGCCCAGCTAGGCTAGAATTGATTTGCAAAAACCCAGAAAATGTCCACAGGAAATAGTCACACAGGAATCAGTCCCACAAAGACATGAGGGAAGGAAGGAAGGAGGACAAAGTGAGCAGAGGAACAGAAGTAGGATGCATACCATGCAGGGAAGATCTGGCCAGTGCAGCGATCTCCTGGATGGTTAGGGCTCTCCGGGACTTGGGCAGCATCGCGACTGTGTCTCCAACATTCACCTTGAGCAACACCATCAGAAGGTCAGTGCCCCTCCAATAGAAATTACCTTCTTTCCAACATGCTCCTGCCTATTCCAAGCTATCAGTGGGGGGCCGGGAGAATGCCAGGGTGGCACATATGTCCTAGTGGCTACTGGCATGCAGAAAAAGCTAAGAAGGTGGAGCCCATGGGCTGCCCTCCCAGGGAGGGACAGACACTCAGGCCCAAGGGAACAGAACTATAGCTGAGCCTCCACATTCCCAGCTCCCAGCAGGGAAGGAGACAGCTGAAGAAGTGAAGAATCATGGAGTAGAGCCTCTGGAGACAGAGAAAGGCCAGGAGGTGGTGGCCACGCCTCTAATTCCAACTCTCCAGAGGCAGAGGCAGATGGATCTGTGAGTCTAAGACCAGACTGATTTACAGAGCAAGTTCTAGGACAGCCAGGTCTACACAGAGAAACCCTGTCCAGAAAAAAAAAAAAAAAAAAAAAAAAAAAAAAAGGGGAGAAAGGAGGAGGAGGACAAGGAGAAGGACAGCTAAGGTGAAGGAAGGAAGGAAGGAAGGAAGGAAGGAAGGAAGGAAGGAAGGAAGGAAGGAAGACAGCTAAGGCAAAGACTTCTTTAGGTTCTGTCCTCTGTCATTAGATATATGTCCCAGCTCTTTTTGGGCTTTCTACCAGAACCACACATCAGCATAACCAAAGCTAAACCAAGCATTCTCTTCCTTGCATGTGGCTTTGCTTTCCACCTTCCCTTTTATCAACTGCTGTTCTCCATTTCCCTGGGGTCCCTATCTCAGGGTTACCATCCGCTCTCTCTTTCCTAAGCTTTGCCTGCATGTATCTGATCTTAAAACCTAGTGAGGGGCCAGGATGTGGCTCAGCTGGTACAGCTCTTGCCTACCATTCTGCAAGCATTGTGTTTGATCCCTAGCATCTGGTATCTGGTACACAATGCCAGCACCTGGGAGGTGAAGGCCAGAGGATTAGAAGTTTAAGGTCATCCTTGCCTACCTAGCAAATTGAGGCCAGCCTGAGCTACATAAGACCCTTTCTCCACCAACAAAAAACTATTATCGCCAACAACCAAGAATCCTTATTGATTATACCTCCAAACCTTCCCTGGCCCCATACCTGTCTTTTCTGTTCCCACTGCCACCTCCCTTAAGCCCTCGGTGCCCCTCCCCAGGTTAACACAGGTCATCAGTCCCTAACGTTCCATACTTCTTTCTCATACTTCTGGCTGTGTATATAATCCATAGCTGGCCTTTTCAACTTTGTGGTTTTGACTTCCAGGAGAGCTTTCTTAGCTACTCAAACAGTGGCCTGCACTCTCATTGCATCTCCAGTTAGTTAATCACTATTTCCTATCAATGTACCATTAATGGAGTCAGCTTAACAGTTGTAAATATGGCTTCCTTTATTGGTCTTTATCTCTTCGAGGAATTCTGTCTGTTATGATCACTGCTACAACCCACTGTTTGAACAGTGCCTGGTAACAAGTAAATGTATGGGCTGAATGAACAAGACAAGGTATAAATGTACAGTTTCCCAAGAACAAAGTGAACCAAAATGTCATTTCCAATTTTGTACAAAGATGCATATACATGAAAGTGTCAATGAAAACCATTATTTTGACCAGGCAGTGTTGGCGCACCCCCTTAGTCCCAGCACTCGGGAGGCACAGACAGGTGGATCCCTATGATTTTGAGGCCAGCCTGATCTACAGAATGAGTTTCAGGACATCCAATACTGTTTCACAGAGAAACCCCACCTTGAAGAACACCCCTCCTAAAAGAAAACCATTACTTTGTATGCTAACTAAAACTTAATCTTAAAAATTGGCTTTGAGCCAGGCGTTGGTGGCAACACCTTTAATCGAAAAACCAAAATAAACAAATTAATTAATTAAAATAAAAATTGGGTCTCTCTCTCTCTCTCTCTCTCTCTCTGTGTGTGTGTATGTATGTATTTTAGGAGGAAAAAAAAACTTTTTAGAGAGATGGAGAAATGGTTCATGGTTAAGAGCATTTGCTGCTCTTACAGTTCTCTGCCCCAGGAGATCTAACACCTCTAGGCTCCATGGACAAACTCACAAGCAGATGCATACCCATAGTTAAAGATAATTTTAAAATTTTAAAAAGAAATAATATTGTCTTTTCTAGGCTCTCCCTCTGTTACTCTTGAGTCCATAAGGAGGACTCTGCCTCTCCCTGAGCCTCCTTGAATTCCAGCACTCATTTCTCCCCAATACCATTGGGCTCCCCCACCTGCTTCCAGGTAAAGGAACCAGCTTTTTAGGCCAAGAGGGCCATCCTTGCCTTGCAAGAAAATGCTCCCTATCATTAAGGCCACAAGCGTTACTTCCCAACAGACTTACTCATTTTTCTTTACCCGCCCCCCCATGCGCTCTGTTCCATACTGCCTTTGTGTCACTCCCAATGAAGCAGGAGAGGCAGGGTCGGGGTTTAATCCATCTGAGCTCCTAACTCCATCCTGTACCTGACTTAATGCTCCTTGACAAGCCCCAGCAAATGTTTTCCTTGGCTGAACATAATTGATGCACACACCCCCTTCCCAGCATTACCTAATTCTCCTCCATCATGGTTGGTTCCACCTGATACAAGCAACCTCCTCCTGCCCCTTGACCTCAGGCCCATCAATCCATCCCTCTCCTTCAGTACCTGGCTGACAGGGCCTCCAGACTGTCGCCGATAGCCCCTGGCCAGGCCTGTGGGAAGGAGAACCTACCGGGTGTTTCCTGGCTCGCGCTCTCCCTCCCTCCCTCCCCTTGCTTCCCCTAGCCGCTGCCATCCATGCAGGGGCGACGCTCCGCGCAGCTGCGGCCCTGGCCCAGAGAAAAGGTGTATATCTCCGTGGCAACCCATCACCATGCAACAGGGTCTCCCGGGATACGGCCTGGGATGCGCTGACGTCAGCACCAAAGGCGCTAGCAAACCAGCCCGCTGGCACCAAGCAGAGCCGAGCAGACCGGCGCGGGGGCGGCCTGCCGGATAGCGCCTCCGCTTGCAGGAAGAAGGATCCGAAGCAGGATGGTGAGGCAGGAACGGGGAGGGGTCACATGAACCCTAAATGTGAACGCCCCCCCCCAACACAAACATGCACAAAAAAGGCCCAGCACCTCTGGCAAGTCCTGGCTGTCTACAGAAGAAGGACGCGGGGACCGGCTCCAGCCTCGGAGAGTCCGAGCAGATCCCAAAGAAGACAGAGAAAGACCTCGAGGGAGTTCGATCCACTCCACAGCCCAGGCAGGGTCTGAAGCCACTGAGGAGTCAGAGGAATAAAGTGTTCCATCTGGATCCTCACTTCTACCAAGATTCCCATTTTCATTATGTTGCCATGTCATTTTTAGTACCCCTCCCCCATCTCAATCTGAGACCCCCTTATCCCACATCTCTAATTTGGGGCCCTTTTGTGGCCGCTCATTGAACACATATTTTGCCATCAAAACGTAAGATGAAGTCCAAACTAATTCTGAATCTTCCCCGTTTTTCAACCCTTGGAAAGTACATGAAATTCTCCCACCAACACTATCCCCATCTCCTTCCCTTCCGCCTCCCTCCTCCCTTGGCTCTTCCCTCTCACGGATCTCAACCGGTCTATCACTCTGTTCTTTTCCAACAAACCCATGTTTTTTTTAAGTTTTCACCCTTGTAAGTAATTTCCTAATAGCCCCAGCCTGTGTCTTCCCAATATCTACACCACACTGGGTTTCCTCTCAGTATCTGGTGTACCTTCCTCCTCAGCTTCCCATCACCTCCCGTATCACATCCATGGTCTCTGGTCTCTGGTCTCACCTCTGCGACTTGTCTGACAAGTCCATCTTCCTCCAGGCCCTTCACGCTGCCACAGAAACATTTTACCCAGCACAGAAATCATAGGCATGCTGGCTGTGTTGATGCAGAGAAGCCAAAGCCTGACTGCTTCAGGCTCAGCTCCCAGTTCTATTCTTGTTTTGGCTCCGGATGCTGAGCCAGTCCCCTCCCCACTTGGAACTTGTGCCTAGTCACATAAGGAGAACACTCCTGCCTGTCTCATAGCTTTGAGAAGTGGGAGTGCCAGGGGCCTAGCCAAGTTCTCTGGGGTATACGGAGCTGCAGCTCATCCTTAGCTTACACAGTGCCAACTGGCCATGTACATACCAACCAACCTTTTAGCTGGAGCAGCCGTCTCTGTCCCTGAGCCTCAGCCAGATGGTGGTCCCCAGAAATGCTACCAACCAGAAAGGAGACAAGTTACTGGCTATCCTTAACCCCCACTGGTACCTAATCAGGGCCCTCAAAGCTAGCCCTGAGGTCAGCCAAACTCTTTCCTGAACTCCAAGCAGACCAGGAAAATCACAGCACCCTGCTCCTTCTCAAATTCATACCCCACGAGGTTAATCCTGGGACTACAAATCCCAGAATTCATCGAGAGAAGTACAAATCTCAGCCAGAATTTAGTTGTAAAACACCTCAAATATAAACCACGAATGTGTTTTGTGACTGACCACCTGCTTGGAAAGTCTAGGACCCATGCCAAATCCATTCCTTGACATAGACACAAGGTAGGCTGGCAAATCTCAGATGCCTAGAGCTAAAGCAGGACACCCCCCATGTGTCTACAGGGGAACCAAGGGCCTGATCAGGGGTTAACTGCTTTAGGGAGACCTGATGGCCTACTTGAACACTTCCAAGAGTAAGGGTGATGGGGGGGGGGATAGAAATATAATTATCTGTGAGCATGAGAGAAATTTATCAATTTGCTCACAGATGCTCCACATGAGGCTTCAGTCTCTTTATTCACCACCTGGTTCTGAAGCCGGGAACAAGTGTTAGGCAAAGACTCCATGGTAGGGTGAGCTCTTGGCCAGTATTTACAGGCTGACTCCTGAGGATGACAGCACCCACAGCTGGGAGCGGCGGCTTCACAGCAAAGAGCCACTCCTAAGACAGTGAGATGAGAGGTAGGTGTAGGCAGAGGAGTATGTAGATACAAGACTAGTTGATAGGAGCCAGGAAGGTGGGGGCCGCCGGTTGCCCAGCAGATCCCAGGCTGTGTGTGCTCCTGAAGTCACCCTCAGCAACAGGAATACAGAAGGAAGGTGAATATACCACGGAAAAACCCAGCAGAAGGCAGGCCACAGAAACAAGCCAGAGTCGGTTAGCCCCCACCCGGTTCGCTCATCTGGCCCGACCCGCCTCCCGGGCGCAGGCTCCTCCCTCTCCTTATACCAGCCCCCTCCTCACTGCCCCTACCACCCACGGCCCCACCGGGTAGATGTGCAGCCCGATTCCCTGTCCATGCTCTGGCCTCCGCCTCTTACCCTGACCGGCTGGGCGCCGAGAGCCAATATAGCCCATGGCAGGGCACCCAGGCACGCTAGCCCGTGTTTGGGACACGGGCCATCGCCTTGCAGAGGGTCGGGCCGCGGTCACCACCGGGGAGGGGACAGCCTGTGAGAAGGGGAGGGGGTGGGAGCAGCGCGTCTGCTGCCGCTCCCGGGAGAGGGGAACAGGGTTGGTGACGTAAGCCCGGGGCTGTGCCCATCCAGAACAGGCGGGGCAAGCCTACGTCACAGGCACTACCAGTCTAGGTCTTGAAACAGCCTGTATCTTCAGTCCACTGCGGTGCCACACTTAAGGGAGAAGGCGCTAGGCCATGGGGGTCACAGGATGCCCCCTTATAGCTCCTATAGCTTCAAAACCAGGGTGTGGATCAATCTGGTAGGTGCAACAAATGCCAAGTACTCTATAGCACTTATCTCCAATGTCAAACCAGAAAGCCCTACCCTCCAGAAAAATCAATTCCCTGGGTCCGTTCTCCCCCATCACTGACTGGGAGAGGCAGGTTATCACTGATACAATGCCAAGTCTGGAGAGGAAGAAGTCCACCTACCCATACTACTCCGTTGGAGCAGATCAGTAAAGAGACAATGAACTTAATTGAATTCATGTTTAATAATTACAGGCACCGTGCCCCCCCCTTTCCCCTGCCCAGGCAGCAGCAGGGGTTGGTGCAGGGGCTGGGGCATATGCCCCCAGCAGCGAGGACGGCAGTCCCAAGAGTGATTTCAGAAAATAAAAAAGGACCCTAGAGGCAGGCGGTAGTGCGCCCCCCACCCCCCGCAAAGACACACCAAATTTCAAGACTTTATATATATCTCTGTGCCCCGGGGGGAGGAGAGGGACACTTGGCAGCATCCTGGAGGGGGGGGCCCAGGCAGCCCCAAGCCATCCTGCCTCATCAGCCACTTTATTAGCTCAGACACATCCCACTACAGGCACCCACTGCCGCTGCCGCCACTGCCACCGCCGCCCCCCTGCAGTCCAGGCAGCTGGCTGGCTAGGCCATCCACGTGTCCATGGCTCCAAGTCCCCGGCCCCACCCGCCATCAGTTGTGGTCAGACTCTTCCTCCTCAGCCTCTCGAAGCCAATTGAAGAAGGCTGTGACAGATTTTAGGGCCACACCCTTGCCCTGCTGCTCAGCAGGGTCCTTGCTGCTTTCCCAGCTGTAGAAAGCATCTTCCTTCACCACGTCCTCATCATACAGAGCATCAAAGAACATCCGAAGCAGGTCTGCAAGCCACAAGGACATCAATTAGGTGACCAGTCTGTACCCAGAGGTCCCTCCCAAAGACACTGTAAAACTATACCCTGCCCTACCATCCTGGTATTCAGAGTGACCAGGCCTCTGACAGAATGCTAATATCACAACACAGAGACTACCAGCCTAAGAATTTGTTATTTGGACATTAGCAATCCTCATAAAATAACCGCAAATATTTAGGAAGCTAAGGCAGAAAGATAAGGATCAAAAGTTTAGGGCCAGTTCTGGTTATTTAGCAAAACTATCTGAAAAGGGGGGAAGAAATGAGGCCAGGTTTGGTGCATGTCTTTAATCCCAGCACTCAGCAGGCATAAGTGAGCAGCCTGGTCTGCACAGTAGTTCTACACAGTGAGATTATGTCTCAGAGAGGTAAGGGGAAGGGGGGAAGAATAACATCACATGTAGAGTCAAATTAGAGATGAAATGAACAATGTTAGGCATGGTGGTTCACAACTGTCATCTTGGGAGTATAGAGGCAAGAGGTTCAGATGGTAAGACAAGTGCTTAAACAGTTAAGACTGCATCTAGGAAAACAATTGGAGACCAGACATCTCAATGGAGACAACAGGCACAGATCCTGACAAACACTTGAACCCTCTGTGGCTTCTAAGTTCTACACTCTTTGCCAGAGTTCCTCAGGCATTGCCTCTGACCCGTCTCTAGTCAACAGAACACTGTCTATCCCATTCTGTACAAACTACAGCAAGTGAATGATGCACAAGGGACTCAAGCCCAGTTTCATGGTGAAGTCAGTAATAGCTCACCAACTATGTGAAGTTCAGGCCAAGACATCCCTCTGGGCATTCCACCTGTGGGTACAGCTAATCCTTCCCTTATGCCACATGTGTGCTTGAAAACCCATGCACATTCTGAAGACCCTATATAACTGCTTATCTACCTTGCCCCACATATTTAACCCCATTCTTCTCCAATTGAAACTATAGCCATCTTTCAACTACCCTACAGCTAAACAAAATTTTTACACAATTTCTTCCTTTCTCAGTCAACTATGTCCTTTTCACTTCAGAACTGGACCCCTAACTCTACCAAATACTCAATTTTGCTAAGATCTCAATGTTTTAATGAAGTCTTCAATTTTTAGCTAGGCTCCTATCAACCAGCATTTTCAATCACTTTTTCCCAAATTCTTTCTTTTGTTCAGAGCCCTGCACTATCCAAGGGTGTCTCCACTTCTCCAGTATCTATCCCTCCTGAGGTGATCCCATTACCCTGTTGTGAAAACATGTTGGAGAAAGTGAGAGTTCTAGCAGGTCCTTTTGAAGCAAGAAGCCCCAGTCTCCCCTATGCAAGTAAATAGCTAATATTTTAAAGGAACTTATGCGTCAAGTGCTGTTTTGATGTCTGTCTTGAACTCAAGAGACCTATGTTCTCCAAAGTGTCACCATGACCAGCTGGGGGTAGAGTGGGGATTTGATGAAACAAGGAGGCCTAATCAGTGTAGGTGGGCTTCTGGTTCGAGGACGGTAGGGCACCCTTCTCAGCTCGAATTCTTTGCTTACAAAGTCCTGCCCCCACCCCCGTGGCTAAAGCACTCTTCATTTCCATAGCTCTTTTCATGTCTTCATTCCAAATCAGTACTTGCTCCATCTGTCAGTCAACTAATTCCTCCCTACCATCTCTCAGACTAATCTCCCAACACTCTCACAGCTGACTCCAGGCCAGCACACAACTGTGTTCTGCTTCCTTACTATGGTTATCTAACACCTGAACATACCCTTGTGTTCAATTTGTAACCCTCAGTCTTACAGTGTAGAAAGAGGAGATAAACCCACAATGGCTATGAGATAAGGCAAGGTAAGCCAAGCAATTTAGCCTTGTGCCAGACACAGTGGGCACATGATGTCTGAAAGATACTACTGTTTATCACTTTTTGTTGCTGTCACCTACTGGCCAAGCACAAAGGCTGCAGGTTAACAACACTCAAGGCTAACTCATTCTTTGTAGGAAAGGAAACATGCACTGGGTAGGATAAGGTATCAATCAAACCATCAGGGCATTTTGTTCTTTACCCACCTTTCTTGGGTTGAGTACTTTTCATGACCACCCTCTTCTATCTGACATCCCTCTGTCCCACCCACCCCTGCAGCCTGGCTCTTACTGGCAGGCTGCTCTAAGGTCACTACAAGGGCTTGGAGAGCGTAGAGTGCTTGTAGCTCCTTCTGTTCATCACACAAGTATTTCTGTAGCAGTCTCGCTCGCAATTTCAACACTGCAACATCCACTCGGAGAGGAGTCTCAACTACATTGAAAAAGACAAGGATAAATGGAAAAATACACACTGTACTTGGCTTAGCCCCAGAATGCCAAAGCCCCCCTCTCCCTCCATTTGTCTGTCTGGCCCACCCTTGCCCCACCATCTCCCTGGCTCCTTACAGATAATTGCAGAATAACAAACAGTTGTCATGAGGGCTCGGACTAATGTATTGGA